GCAGGCCCGAGGGCCCTTTGGGCTTAAGGCCCCCTCCTGGTTCAAACCCTAGGCCCAGGCTGGCTAGCCTCACTCCAGGGACAGAGCAAACCTGCACGTCAAACACATTCCCAGAAAAGCAGTTGACTCCAAAAGCTTGCCATGATTCCTGCACTTTTTAAATAAAAATTAAAAATCATTACTAAATCAAACAAATAAGAGAGCAGTAAAAGTTATGTACATACAACACTGTAGCATTACATTTATATACAATTCAAGTCAGATCAAGCTAATTTGTGAGTATCAAAATTCCTGCTAAAAATTGCAAAGGGTAAGGGAAGAAGACATGACTTGAAAGAGGCCTAAGGGAAGCTTCTGGAATATTGTTAATGTTAGATATTTTTATCTAGATAGTAATTACATGAGAATGGTTGCTTTTGAAAATATACTCTAATGCATGCTTATGATATGATTTCTAGTTGAAAGAGGGCTCATCACTGAGATGGATTGATACAGTGACAACGTGAGTGTGACAGAGATTGGGAGGATGGCATCGGCTAAGGCAAGTGTTCCGTTACACACAGAGTAGCTATAAATTTTCGTCAACTTGACGGCACCTAACAACAGCAGCAGCAGCATGTTTCATCCACTGATTACAGTGATAAAAGGTGAGAAGAATGAACAAAGCAGTTTCTTAAGAGATGCTAAAAAAGTAAAGAGGAACAGGAAGATTGAAGGAAAAAGACCAGTGTTATCAAACTGAGAAGGAGAAGTCTACCATCTCTCCTCTCTAATATCCCTGGCCTAGACTTAGCACAACACGTAGTCTGGAAGCAGGTCGATACAAACAGAATACACCTGGAGAAGCCGTCTAGATTTAGTTCCAAATGTACGAAAAAGTTTCCTAACACTACCTCCTCTTTCATTTTAGACTTCAAGCTTCAGTCCTAATGGCAGAAGCAATAGTGGCAATAAGTGTTGCCATAAACTTCTAAAGAGGAACCTTCCTTTTCAAAAGACTTATAGGCCAAAGTTATTGTTGTTATGTGCCATTGGGTCAGAACTAATTCATAGCTGATCCTTCAGCCAGTTTTCAGAGGTTGTGAGTCACATGGTAGGAGACTACTCATCCCTCTCCCATAGATTAGTTGGCAGATTCAACATGCATAACTTTGGGTTGACAGCATAACTCCTTCCCAAGTAGGACACCAGAGCTCTCTATGGACCAAGAGAGAGAAGGGAAATTCCCACTGCTCTTTATCTTTCTGTCCTCCTCTACTTGGCCCGACATCTAGAACCAACTTATAGGATACGCTTGAAAGAACAGGATAAATGAAGCCCCACATTTTGGGCCAAAGAATCAAAAAGTATAGTCTTAATGAACAGAAAAGTAATAGGGAAATATCAGTTAAAGAATGTGATTGAGAGAAGCTTGGAAAACAATTCTATAGTTATTATGAACCACAGGGTTCAGCCTTAAACTGGGCATGTATATATCTAACAACAAATATATCACAGTTTTTGAAAACTGAACCATAGAATACATTATTACTCTAGTCCTATTTAGGCCACTGGGTAGTACACACACATAGAGAGAGAGAGACAGACCTAAAAGATGCTACAATGACTTCAGATATGCAGTTGACAATTGACATTACAACAACATCCCACAGAAGACTTGTCAAAATCTGCAGCTTGAATGATCCTCGAATGATTCCTGCTCAAAATAAAATTAAAATTCTCTATAGCTTTATCAATAGGATTCAAAGACCAAATATAGAGTCAAAACCAAATATTTATAATAATCATAATTTTATGATGATGTTGTTGTTGTTGTTATGAGCCGTCAAGTCGCTTGCGACTCATAGCGATCCTACGCACAACAGCCCTAAACTCTGCTCTGTCCTGTGCCAATCACACTGCCTCCAATACACCCATCTCGATTACCCCAGTCACTGAATCAATCCACCTCACAGAGGGCCTTTCCCTCCTGTGCTGTCCCTCCACCCTCTCAAGCATGATGTCCCTCTCCAAGGACCAGTCCCTCCTTACAACATGACCAAAATATGTCAGATGAAGCCTCAGAATCCTTGCCTCCAAGGAACTGCCCAGTTTAACCCTCTCCAGGATGAATCTGTTTGTTTTCCTAGCAGGCCATGGTACCCTCAACACTCTTCTCCAACACCAAAGCTCAAAAGCATCAATTCTCCTTCTATTCTCCCTGGTCATTGTCCATCTCTCTGATGCATAGCAAGTGATTGCAAAGACCATGGCCTGTATCAGATGCACCTTAGTCTCCAGAGAGATACCATTGCTCTTCAATACTTTGGAGAGGTCCCTAACAGCAGACTTTCCCATCACAATACGTATTTTAATTTCCTGGCTACTGGTGCCAGGAGTGTTGACTATGGAGCCAAGCAAACTAAAGCTGTGAACAATCTCAATCTCTTCACCAACCATCCTGATGCTGCCAATTGGTCCAGTGGTGAGAATCTTTTTTCTTCTTGATATTGAGCCCACTATATGAAGAACCAGGAAAATCTCAACTTTTACATGAAAAGACAATTAGATGACACAGATGTTAAAATCAGAAAAGGCAATTATTGGAAAATGCTCCAAGAAGTAAGAATATACATGTTTTAAATTAATGAAAAGATAGGAAGAGTGAGAAGAAAAAAAAACACAGAAGATATAAAGAAGAGACAAATGGAAATTTTAAACTGGAAAAAATGACCAATTTTAAAAACTCATTGGGTAGCCTTAAGAGCAGAATGGTAAAGGCAGAGTAAAATTTCTGAATTTAAAGCTTGACTGATTGAAATGATGTAGTTAAAAAAAAACAAAGAAAAAAGATTGGAAAAGAAAAATTAATATAACCCCTGGGACTTGTGGGACAATATAAAAAAATCCGATGTTAATATTATCCCAGAAGTACAAGAGAAAGAATGTGGTAAAAAAAGAAATGTTTGAAGAAATAATCCTAAACACTTTCAAAGTTTGACAAAAGGTATAAATGTATTGATTCAAGAATCTCAGATAAATGTAATATGGTAAATCCAAAGGAATAAATCCATAAAATATCATAATCTATACTGAAAGTAAAGTAAAAAAAAAAGTTTTTAAATCAACCAGAGAAAATTGATTCATATATTGTGTAGAGAAGAACAATAATTTGAATGATAGAAGATTTTTCCATTAGGAACTAAGGAGGCCAAAAGTAAGGGTAAGAATATTTTTAAATGCTGAATAAATTGCCAACTCAGAATTTTATTAAATATCCAGGAAAAGGATTCTTCAGGAATAAAGCTGGAGACCTTTTCAGGTGAAGAAAAGCAGAGCATTTGATTCAACAGCCCTTCTCTAAACAAATACTAAAAGAGGTTCTTCAGATAGAAGAAAAATATTAGAAACCTGGAATATTAATAATGCAGAAAGAAAAATTAAAACTAAATATCTCAGTAAGCATGAGAGACTAATTCTACCTTTTCAGTTATTGAAAACATACATAGTGATAAAAAGAGAAGAAGATATTACATACTATGAGATTCCCTTCATATGTAAACAGAATACATTCAAATAACCCAAAAGAAGGTAGGAAATGGAAATCAGGGATGACAAAGAAAGGAAATAAAAAGAAATGGTCAAAAGGTAGCTTGAAATAGAAATATACCAATGATTTTCTTGCATGGAATTATCTAAATGCCACTCCAAAAACAAAAATTGTTAAAATGAGTAAAAATCAGCCAGCAACATCAACAAAACATGAGTCAACCACAGAATGTATAGTAATGAACTTAAAACATAATTGTATTTTGTTATTATGGACCATCAGGTCAGATGGGGGTGGTGTGGACTTTGCTCATCTTCCTCCCACAGAGTAGCTGGTGGGTTTGAATCAAAAGTCTTTGGGTTGACAACTCCATACCACTAAACCAGCAGAGTTTTTGCTGGTATATTAAAAGGAGAGAAAAACATCTAACTTGCAAAACTAAACAAAGTTGGAGTCACATTACTATCAGACAAAATAGAATTAGTAGAGATAAAGAAGAATATTATATAAAGACTTAAAGATCAATTGATTAAAACAAGGTAAAAAAAATCCCTTAATGTGTATGTACTAAATGATGAAGCTTCAAAAGCCTTGATGTGAAACTGATAGAAGAATGAAGAGAAATGGGAAAAATCTACAGTAACACTTAAATACTCTTCTTAGCAATCAACAGTCCAGTAGGAAGAAATCAAATTATTATACACTGTACTGTATCATTCCATTTATGTGATAATATCAATAAGAACTAGTGATAAGATAAAAGTATAATTACAGATAAAATATGTGAACAATTTGATATTAGTTTTTACACACAACTTAGTCCTTTTGATGACCTGTAAGAAGTTGCATTGGCAACCCAAAAGCAAGTGGTTTGAATTCACGAACTGCTGCTCAGGAGAGAGATGGACAATCTTCTTCTGTGCAATTTATAGCCTCTGGAAACTCCATGGAAGGCCAGCTGCAATTTTGTTCACACTTGAGGGCAATGAGTTTGAGTTTGTGATGTATGGTGTCTTTGAGATTCATCTAAGTTATTGCAAGTATTAACAGTTTTATTCGTTCCTTTTTTTCCACGGTGCATATTTCTTGGGATATATTGCCGTTAATCTGTTAACCCCTTGAAGGACATTTGGGAGTTTTTAGCTTGGAGCAGTCATAAATACCTTCTCAAGAATTTCTAGTTAGGGTAGCCAGTAGGGTGACAGATCTACATCTTCATTGTACTGATAATGGCTACACAAATTTAGACATGTCTTCAAATTCACAGAAATATACATCAGAAGAAAAGGTCAGTTTTACAAAATATTAAAACATCAAATAGAAATATTCTCACTTACCTTAGAATGTAAGGAATACATGTCCCCATGAGACTTGGGGATCAAGGTTAAGTAAATGAGACTTAAGGATTGAGATTATATAAAAAACTAAAATAACCCACAAATAAAAATCAGAAAGATAATAGTATACTTACCACTGCTTGCCCCTCTACAGTTTCCATTGCTAGAATCCATAGGAAAATCTGGAAGGAGGTGACAGAACAGAGAGAATTAAATATACTTATTTATTATTTCAAATTTTTTCATATAAAAGTCTAATTCAGTTACTAGTGTGATTGAGGGAAGAATTTAGGTGTCTTAATAGATTATTATTTATGCCCCAGTACTAGCACTTTATTATTTGTTTGTCAAATACAGATCAGGTTATGTTATGTATTTTTTGGCTGAATGAAAAATCCTGATCTGTGCATAAAATTTCAGGATTTAGTAAGTTACTATTTAAACTTTGGGGTTTCATTAAATATGTGAATTATTACATAACAATAAACTTCTGCTCATATTTGTGTTTTGATGATTAAAACACCCAACCATTCCTCTTTAATAAGTGAATCCCACTACTGATATATAATTCAATCTTAAATGTACTCCTCATAAAACAAAGTCAGAAAGTATTCCTGTGCCCTCTAGTAGCTGAAGACTAAACATTTCGTCAATAGAAACTTCCCATACAGATATCCTTTAAGCCAGCGTAATTAATAGCCATAATAATAATTAGAAATTGCCATTTGTTCATGATCTCATAAATACCAGGAAATGGCATGTTATAGATCTTCCCTCTTCTAATTGAGAACCCAGTCTTTAATGAACAGCCTTGAGTACCACAGCAAAACACCATGATGAAAGACAGTATGTCTAGCCCAAGTTCTTATTGATGCTTCTACTGGGATTCAGGTGTCTGCTTGCAACTTTTCCTCCTCCTTTGTGTTTACCAACCAGATGGCTCAGCCTCAGGTGCCGCATCTGCTCGTCTATTTCAAGTATGCTCTATTGTGCATAGGGCTTTGAAGGCCTGTTTCAGATGTAAATGGCCAATCCTCCTCCCTAGTCTGCCTTAACTTAGATGTCCAGCTTACAGCAATATACTCCACGTGATTTACTGCCTCTGTGAAAACCATCTGGAGAGTCAGCTACAGTTTGATTCTGCTCCATATTACACAGTAACAACAATAACATCTCCCATAAAGTTTACAGGTTTGTCCAGAATTAAAGTTACATAGTGGAGTGTACTCAAGGGGGGGGGGTGTGGATGGGAAATGGGGGGGGGTTTGTATACAAATAAAAGAATTTTTATTTTCTTTTTCAAAGAGAGGAGTGAACTCGGGGGGGGGGAGGGCTGGGCAGGGAGGAAAGTGCAACAGTGAATGAATGGAAATCCAAAATCTCTGTAAATGTTCATTAAAATTAATAAAATAAAATTTAAAAAATTATCTTGCTAAAAGAATTTAAAAAAAGAAAAAAGTTCACAATTTGGAAACGCAACGGAGCCCTTTTGGCTTGATGACAATGTGCCTTGTCTTTTTGTTGTTGTTTGTATTTTATTTTTACCCTGTGTTGCACTAACTATGCAAAGGCATTTGTATGGATCACAACGAATTGTCACTAATCTTGAGAAGAATGAGAATACCAGAACATCTAATTGTGCTCATGCGAAACTTATACTTGGACCAGGAGACAAGCATCAGAACAAGGAAACACTGTGGTTCAATATCTGAAAATGAGTGCTTCCGGGATGTGTCCTGTCTCCATACATTTCAACCTGTATGCAGAACAGATCATTCTGCATTCAAGAGGCTGGACTTTATGAGGAGGTATGTGGCATCAGAATTGGAGGAAGACGCATCAACAACCTATATTATGTAGATAACACAACCTTGTTGAAACTGAGGAGGACCTGAAGCAATTGTTGCAAAGAGTTAATGACTGTAGTCAACAATATGGATTGAAGTTCAATATCAATAAAACAAAGATTCTCACCTCTGAGCTAATTGGCAGCATGATAGATGGGAAAGAGCTTGAGGTTGTTAACAATTGCAGCTTGCTTGGTTGCACAAGCAACACTCTTGGCACCAAAAGTCAGAAATTCAGAAGACAAATTACATTATGAAAATCTGCTAACAGGTACTTCTCCAAAGTCCTTAAGAACAAGAAGTCAGTCTAAAGTCTAAGGTATGCCTGATCCAGGCCATAGTCTTCCCAATTACTTGCTATATGTCAGAGAGCTGGACAGTGACCAAGGATGACAGAAGAATAGTATCAACTATCAGCCTTTGAACTGTGGTGCTTAAGAAGAGTATTGAATATACCATGGACTGCCAAGAAAACTAACAGGTCTGTCCTGAAAAAGGTGAAACCAGGTTTCTCCTTAAAGGCAAGGATTTTGAGACTCTAGCCCACATACTTTGAGCATGTAGCCAGGAAGATTTAGTCTTTGGAGAGGGGTATCATGCTTGGAATGGTTGAGGGAGAGCGCAGGAAAGGAAGACCCCAGATGAGATGGACTGACACCATAACTGGGGTAAGAAGGTAAGTGTGTCAGAGACAGTGAGATTGGCTCAGGATAAAGCAGGATTCCGAGCTGTTGGGTGTAAGGTGATTATGAGTCATAGTTGACTCAACAGCACATAAAATATCAACTAAGATTCAAAGGAGGCCTGGTTGCACAGTGAGTGGATAAGCACTTGGAAGTTAACCAAAATGTTAATGGTTTGGACCCATCAGGTGCTCTGTGGGAGATAATTATGACAACCACTTCTGAAAATATCACTGCCTTGGAAATTCTACAGAATGGTTCTACTGTGTCATCCTACATGACAGCACACAACAATTGGAACAGCAACACATCAGTACCAATGGCAACTAGTAGTTATTGAATATAGGGAATGAGAAAGGATAGAATCAAGATTAACTCCTAAACCTGGCCAAATAGGTTGGGTGGTCCTTTTCACTAATCCATAAAATTCTAGGGGGGGAAAAGCCCCAAACCAGGTATACAAGGATATGGTAAATTCATTCTGGAACTAAGATTGAGAGGAGTGGAGTTAGACATGAGAATCAAGAATTTACATTTTTCTCTTACAGCAAAAGTGCATTAAAGTAGTACCCTCTTTTTTTTTAAAAAAAAAAAAAGAGTAAAGGAGCTTTATTTTAAGTAATGATAGATTATTCTGCACAAGTTTGGGGTTGTTTTTTTAAAGTTTGCTATTTTTTTTCTTTCCTCTATTTTTTAATTTTAATGAAAGTTTGCAGACTTTGGATTTTTGTATATTCATTGCTGCATACTTTCCTCCCTGCCCATCCCTCCCCCCAGTTCACTTTTCTCTTTGAAGAGAAAAAAAACATTCTTTCATTGTTATGCAATCCCTGTCCCACTCACAGCCCTGTCTGTTCCACTGTGTAGCTTTCATTCTGGACTCTTGTCATGACAATAATATCTCGTCATATATTCCTCCTAAACAGTTCTCTCCCTCATCTGTTTCAATGCAGGATACATTATTTATCCCCTCTTAGTTTCCACCTAACCCCAATGTCGTCCAGCTTTACAACAGTGGCACTATGCAGTATTTGTCCTTTTTGTGACTGAGACCTTTCACTCAGCTTAAGTCCTCCAGGGTCACCCATTTTGTATAATATTTCATAAGTTTCTTGTTTTTCATTGCTGCATAGTATTCCATTGTGTGAATATACCAAAGCTTCTCTCTCTAGCCATTCATTTGTTGATGAGCACTTGGATTGTTTCCAACTCCTTGTTATTGTGAACAAAACCACAATAAAGATGGGTGTGCATCTATTTGCTTGGGTGGTAGTTATGGTTTCTTTAGGTTATATTCCCAGTAGTGGAGTTGCTGAGTCAAATGGTATTTCTATTTTCAACTTTTTGAGAAAGCACCATACAGCTTTCCGTAGTGGTTGCACCATTTTACACTTCCACCAACAGTAAATAAGGGTTCCAGGTTTTCCACAACCTCACCAGCATTTGATGTTTGCTGTTCTGTTAAATTTTGCCATTCTTAGTGGGGTGAGATGATATATCATAGTTGTTTTGATCTGCATCTCTTTTAGAGCTAGGGAATTTGAACATTTCTTCATGTGTTTGTTGGCCATCTGAATGTCTTCTTCGGTGAAGTGTCTGTTCACCATCCTGTGTCCATTTTTCAATTGGGTTGTTTATAATCTTGTTGTGCTCGAGTATTTTATAGATTCTAGATATAAACCCCTTATCAGACATGTCATTAGCAAGTATTTTTTCCCAGTCTTTGGCTTCCCTTTTTATCCTGTTGGAGTTTTTAGATGTGCATAGGAATTTTATTCTTAGAAAGTCCCATTCATCTATTTTATCCTATCTTGTTCGTAGGTTTTTCAGGATGCTTGGAAGACTGTTTATGTTGTAGAATAAGGCTTCTAGAGTAAAGTAGTATCCTCTTATCTCCTGGAATCCAAGTCCAGGGACACCTTCTATACTATTAAATCCAATGTAAGTAGGCTTTTGGAATACAAGAGGGAACAATTTGAACCTTTAAATTTAAAGCAACAAGCACAAGAATTAGATTTTCTATCAAATTAGGAATTATCCTTTAATGGGCATGAAAAAGGAAATCTGGTGAAAACAAAATCTGGTTTAAATCCTGGTTTTTTATCAATTTTAGAAACTTAGAAAAGCCATTAACTTTCCTATATAAATGCCTCTGTTTTTTATGAAAATCAGAAGAACACTACTACATAGTTACAAGAGAAATAAATGAAATAATATGCAACAATGGATATAGGACAGCACCTTTGTGTTTGATGTTAGTCTTATTTGTTTTGGGGTTTTTGTTGTTGTGTTTGTCTTATCTTATTTTGTTGTTGCTACTGATCCCTACACTGAAGAAGACCACATGTTTTCTACCAGTTATACTGTGAAACACATGTCATTCTTTAAAATTTATTAATCCCGTTACATGAGTATTTATTCTGTTCTTCACAAAATCCAGTCAATGTCTATGTCAAACAAGTTGTTTAAAGTACAAACTTAACAGCAAATCTGAGATATCAATTGTGATGGTTAATTTATATATCAGTTTGGCTAGTCTGAAGTACCCAGATGCTTAATCAAACCCTAATCTTTGTGTTGCTATGACTGCAGATGTAATGAGCATATAAAATCTCTTCACTTTATATATAGGAGATTCTTGTTTACAAAGTTAGAAAGTCTCACTCAATCAGTCCTTCAATTTAAGAAATCTTATACTTTTGTTTTCCACAGAACTCCAGTCCAGTTTCTGGTCGACCCTACAAATGGCAGATTGCCAATCCACATAACCCAATGAGTCAATTTCTTAAAATAAATCTATCAATATATCCTATTGGTCCTGTCTCTCTGCATAATCTGATTGAGAGATCAACTGCAAAAATATGGCCAACTTCTAACTATTCAAGCTGTATTTTCATATGGTGGTTCTTAGCATTCCCTTTCTAGACATCTAATAGAGCAACTGTAACTATAATTTAGTCAGTTTTTCTATTTATAGTAAAGTATTTGAAAGCCTAGTAGAAATTAAATTTAAAAATTAGTAATTGGAATTAAGGATTACCTAGAGTCAAATGGCCTATGCTCCTAAGATTCCATTAGCCCTGATAATCAAGTAAGCTATAAATAAAATGAAATATTGCAACTCTCTGGAAAACTCCTGTCTGATCCAGAGTGCCTTTGTGCATGATGGGGGATCTTTAGAACATTTCCTTCCTAGTCTTAATAAAAAATGTTTTTCTCTCTCCCTTCCCATTCCATTTTCTTCCTCCTATCACACTAAATAATTTTTCTTCCTTCTTGGTATTTGGCCCCTCAAATATTTATAGACCAGGACTAAAGAGAAGGCTGCCTGTTCCTCAGAGAGTGGAGAAATGATTAAACAGCAGTCAATGCATGTGAAAGCTGGCTCCGCTTGGCCAGTGGGGAGAAGGCCTAGAGAAATTTGTTGAGTAAGAGCTGTGGTGACAAGTTAGTACTACCAAGAAAACCAGCTATGACTGAAGAATTATTATAAAGCCTTTGGCATGGTCCTGAGTCCTGTATAAATAACTGTTAAATATCATACCATAAATTTTCTTAAATGTATTATCTCTGAGATAAACTATTTGTAATTAACAGATTAACCATACCCTCACCCCACCCTGGTTGCTCCTGAAGTATTTGGTTTTGAGTCTGATATCCTAGTCTGTTTGTGTGAAATGAAATATAAACTATTCAGAAGAAACAAGATACGCTTTTCTGGATAGGTTTCAGCAAAAAGCTTTCTAGAGCTGAACTGATAAAAAATGTTAAGCTGTATCTGCATTTGCGTTCTGGTGGCTTAGTGATAAGGAGCTGCACAGCCAGCCTAAAGGTACCAGTTCAAATCCACCAGCTTCTTTGTTGAGGAATATGTGTAATCTCTTCCCATTCAATTTGTTGCTGTTATTGTTGTTGTTAGGTGCCATCGAGTCAAGTACAACTCAAAGCAACCCTACGAACAAAACATCTGAGCCTTGTTCTATTCTGCACCATCCTCACACTTCCGGACAATTTAATTTACAGCCTCTGAAAACCCACTGGAGGGTCAGCTATGAATTGGTTCTGACTCACACCTAATAACATAACAACACAAACTCTTCATTTACCAACATAACCACAAAAAAAAGAGAGTGACACTCAATTTGCTGTAAATGCTACACTGCATTGAAAAGCAAGGAACTCATGCAATAGTATTCAAAATGGGTGACCCTGGAGGACATTATGTTGAGTGAAATATCTCAGTCACAAAAGGACAAATACTATATGGTGCCACTGTTGTAGAATGACACTGACATCAGGGTGAGGGTAAGACTGAGGAAAACTGGATAAATTAAGTTTACTGCATGGTGGCCAATGAGGGAGAGAATAGTTTAAAAGTAGTATATTTTAGGTCATTATTATGATCATAAGAGTCAGGAATGAGGTTTGCAGAGTCGTGTGTATTTGGGGTGGGGTGGGGGTGGCGGTGTGTGTGTTGGGGGGACTGTGTACCAATGAAGGAGTTTTTCTTTTGCTTTTCAAGGAGAGGAATGAACTGGGGGAGGGGAAAGAAAGAGGCGGGGAGAAAAGTGCAACAATGAAAGAATGGAATTCCTAAATCTCTGTAGATGATCATTGAAATTAATAAAAAAAATAAATTAAAAAAGAGTAGTACAATAACAGCAGCAGTTTATTTAGAGGGGCAATGGACCCGGTATTGGACTCAATTTACCTTTTACCTTGCCCTTAGGATGTAGATGATATTGTTCTCATTTTATAGAGAAGAAAATTTTGAATGAGCCAAGTTTTATGATTTTCCTATAATAAAGGTAACACAGAAAGAATCAAGCTTTAAACCTCGATTTGCTCAAGGTTAAGCATAAGTGCTTTATTCATTGTGCCATGCTAATGATTTGACTAAATGTCTTAACTAGAGCAATGAGTAAATAGATCCGACTTCTCAGGTAGTTAAGTTGACTAGCAACAACCCTTTGGTGGATATAAAACATACAAGAAATTGAATTGTACGTGAATTTTTAGTACTGGTCAGGATGTGTCCTTTGCACTATAAAAATATGTTTCCCTTGAATATTTTGAACAACAAAAACAATCTGAAGCAACAATTCATTTCTATAGCACTTTTCAAAATGTCCTTACCTTGTTTCTGGAGTCAGTGTGTACTATGGGAAAACAATTTCACATGAGAAGCAGAATTTGAAGATTCCTCTTGGCATTAAAGGCATAGGAAAAGCTGTCACATTTTATTCAGAGAGATTTCATCATACTTGTCTATAAAAGATTCTAGTCATAAGAAATGGAGAGTCCCTGGAGGGGGGAAAAATCTACCCCCAAACAACAACTTCCTTTGTGAACTATCACATCCCACTGGACCACAGCACATATTGACTGCACCATAGATTAAACTGGCCACATGTGGTAGATCTTAAGTAATTCCAGATGTCTGACAGCTTGACCCAACAGAAACAATGTCATTTTCAGCAAGCTGGCATTGGAACATAGAGGACCCTTCAGGCTAGGATCCACATCCTTTTATTTCACCCCACCTCCTCCACATCCCCATTTCCCACAACAGTGTGAAGGTTTTAGTACATGAGGGAAGGGGGAAATTTTGTCACTAAATTATGCTTCTAACTGCCTCCTAGTCCTTATCTTTCTCACAAAAGCACATATAATAACATATTATAGATGCTCAAAAATCCACAATGCTTCCACACATGTGCTGTTGGAAAGCTTCTAGGAGACAAGTGAGGTAGGTTTCGACCACAGTAAGTTGGGGGCACTTCATGAACTTGCCTCCTTTCAGTATTGATACCATAGCATTGCAGAGCTATTAACCTTGTCAAACCACTCTTATTTGGAGTCCATCTATCTCTAAGACAGGATTAAGGTAGTATTTTCCCCTTGAAGGGAAGAAACCTGTTTCAATGTGAACCATTATTGCCTCACTCCTAGCTCCTGGCCCCAGAAGAGCATCAGCATCGAACTTCTTCTATGAGCCTCAAAGACCAGGGAAGCAACTGCACTGAGCTCTTGCCAGGTCTACAGAGCAAGGCTTTAGTGAGAACAGAAATTCAAGAATGCTCCTTCAGTCCACAGACCAATGATGCATTCCTTTCCAGTTATTTTATACAACCAGCTCTTTGTTCCTGATCATGAATAGATATTTTCAAAAGGTAATAACCTAAATGAGGTGACCATTGATTGATAAGTCCTTGATATTTTTCTGTTCTGTTTTAGTTTTCCAACTCTTTCCTCCCTCTTCCCTACTCCCTTTAGGTTTTCTGGGTTAACATGCATCAGGAGAAGGGTCTCAGATTTTTCTGAATCAGTCCCCTGAAAAGTCAAGAACCCAGAAATGGACTAAGGACATGAGCATGTTGAGAGGTACAAGAAGAATAAACAGATGCATAAGAAAGAAAAAGTAGGAGCAAGCAGGTAGATGAGCTTAAAACAGCCAGCCCCAGGGAAATGTGAAAGAGAACCACTCAGAAAGGATGGCATTTATTTTGAAATCATATGAAGGATGAAATGTGAGGTTTGAGCTAGTGGGTAAGAAATGATGCTGAATAAAAAATTAAATGGACCACAGTGAACTAGGTGTAGTTGGAATCTGAGTGTTTTGAATGTCATAATTAGACAGAGTACTAGGGAGAAAACAACCTGTTATTGAGTCCATTAAATGCAAAGCTGCAAAAAAAAAATAAATAAATAAAATGCAAAGCTGCAATAAAGTTTTATGGTGGAGAAAGATTGAAATGAATGTGTGGTTGACACAATCCCTAAAAAAGGGCATGAAATAAACTGAAAATGAGTTACTTGTAGAGTGTAAGAGTGAGATAAAGATGAATGATTGTTGTCCAGCAGGGTAAAAGGAGTAAGATTAAAAATAACATTAAATGAGTGCAGGAGGATAACAAGCTTTAAATATAACTCCCTTCATCTATATGCCATTTGCTAAATGACTTGAAGGCATGCAGGCATGTGAAAAGAGCCTGGCAATCACACACACACACACACCCTCCAACACACACAACACAGACACACACACCCACCACCACCAGGACCCCCCTTCTCCACCCCCAGCTCTGTGGTGGGAGCCAGTCACAGAAGCTAATTAGCGGTGCATCGCAATGTTTCACAGCTGTCTCAGTCTGGAATGGAAGAACAATTTATCTCATTGAATGAAGGAGGAAATTTTAGGTGTAGGTAATTACTCAAATTGCATATTGAGCAAACATACATTTAACATCTGTGGGTTGAAGTAAGGGTGCCAAACTATCCTGGCATTTTTAAGATTAAAAGAAAATAGGGCTAACAGTAAAACCACTAAAGAGACCAAAACCTGGTTGCTAAGAAGTCGTGAGAATGGGGCAAAAAAGCTCAGTGTTTATAAGCAAATGAAGAAAGTAAGAAGAGACAGCACTGCTATGCGAAACGCTGGTCACTATGGACGCAAATGTTATGTGATGAACGAACAGAGTGTTTTAGAAAGGCAGGTCAGATACAGGAAAGAAGTGTCAGAAAGAGTAATAAGGGGGAACTTTAAAAGGGGGGAGAGGGTATGGTGCCCGAAAGGAGTGAGCAAAAGAATTTGAGAGTAGAAGGGAGTCCTGAGCGCAAAGGAGAGGTCGGGCTTGATGTCAGTGCTCACCAGCTCCGTCTGCGGTGACGATGGCCTCGGGAGAGATGCACACGCCCCGGTCGTAGACCGGCAGCTCCTCGCAGGCCAGGCTTTCCGGCCACGAGTGGCGGTACTTGATGAGTATGGGTTCGCAGCCCTGCCGGGCGCGCTCGCACACCGACTTGCAGGGCTTGATGGGCTCGTGCTGGAAGTCGATGGTGCAGATGGGCGCGTACATGGCACAGAGGAAGAAGAGCAGGTCGGGGCTGCAGTGGGTGCCCAGCAGACCTTCGAACTGCTCGATGGCCAGGATGGCGTTGGCCTGAGTGCTGTGGTGCAGGTGGTTGGGCATCTTGGTCATGTTCCAGGGCAGGGACTTGCACAGGGGAATGCGGACTGGCTCGCAGGCTGCTGCCCGGGCTCCGGGCACCCGGAGCAGGCAGAGCGCAGCCAGGGCGAGCAGCCCGGTCCGCGGCAGCAGCATCCCACACGGGCTACCCCACAGCATGCTCCCGGCGGGATGGGACAGGGTGCAGCGGTGGCGTGGGCACCGAAAGGCAGGCCGCCGTTTTCTCCTCCACACCTGGGTGGACGCGGTGATCTGGAAGCGTCTCCTCCCTTTGTAATTGCTCAGTTTCCTCGGATCCAATCTGCCCAGTGGGCCCCAGGAGCTGCGCCCAGTTGCAGCTGCAGCCCCCGAGCTGTTGCTGCTCCGGCCGCTCGCGCTCAGTCTGAGCCTGCTGGGGCAGCAACACCTATTTGTTCCCCTCTCTCTGGCAGGAGCGCCAGACCTCGCCGATCAATCAGATGAGAGGGAAACCGGGGGAGGCGAGGGCGAAAGAAAACAAAAGTAGAATTCAGCAGAGGTAGCTGGAGATCTAGGGTGTCACATCCCCTAGATCACAAAAGGTGCTGAAAAGCAGCATTAAATTTTCCAAAAGGGGGGAGGGGCGGGGGCGGGAGGGTTAAGGGCGGGAGGAGGCGTAACCTGGGTGGGGGGCAGGACTCCTAGAAGGGGGAAGGTAAGCAAGCTTGCAGGAGGAGTTTGATAGCTTCGATGTGAGCTGGCTGGGCCACCGAGGGCGGAGAGGCGCGGGTGGAGCCTCCTCGGGGGGTCCTTTTCCATCTCGGGGCCTGGCGCAGCTCCGCCCCGCTACATGGTCTGTGCAAGAGTCGGGGTGGGGTGGGGTGGGGGGGAACAAGTTCTGTGGGCTGATGGTTGATGGGACTTCGGAACCGAATCTTGACAAGTAGCTGGGATGGATTATCCAAGATTTCGCTGTCTTGAGTCGTGCGCCCCTGTGGGAAGATCGCTTCACAGGGGGAGCTCATGGTACTCGGCTCTGGGGAACCTCGTGGCCCCAAAGATTCGCTCATGGCCCCTCACTGAGGAACCCACTCACTCCTTCTCCCCCTTTTCTCTCTCCTACGCCCCAGTTTCCAGTTTGTCACCTGAAAATCTACCTGAGTTTCTGCAGAGACACCCTTTATACTTGGATCTGAGGGGAAATGCTTAAGCAGTGACTTTAAATGCACAAGTCACTGGTAACACGAATAGCTGAGTATCATAGTAGTGGCGACTTATCAACCAAAAGCTTAGTAACCACAGAGGTCTGGGCTTCCGGTAACATCTAGGAAAGCGTTGCCTTTTTAAAAAAGAGAGGAAAATGTTATGTACCGTTTCAAACAGGCCATCAGAAGCAAGGATTAATTTTGACTGAACAATTCTGTTTGCACTGTAATATCAGAACTTCCAAGTTTTGCTTTTCAAACTTGAGAGTACTCGAAAGCGGTGACTTTTCTCATTTTACTCACTAAGATACAAATGACCCATTCATTATCTAACTCTTTCCCCCCAAAAGCATCACCTAACACGTGAGAAAATGCAGGAAAATGACACCACGGTAAAAAGGATGATGACAATGAGTGTATGTGTATATATATATCCTTTTTTTTTCTTTACCTTTTCCATCCAGATGAGTTCCATCTAGAGGAAAATAAAAAACAGATCCCCTTACAGCCTGCTCATTCCACTAACAAGCCTTTCCTCTTTCCCCTCCCCTCTCAGGGCAGATTGTAAACGAAATGACCTGCAAAGGCCCTCGCACAGGGCTCCGTCAGTGGGAAATCACTGAGCAAAAGGATTGCAGAATGTCACACGACCCTCTAGAGAAGAGAAGGAAACCGAACCCTAAGCAAACAGGAAGTCGCCTTTGCTCTGCGTCCTGAAATATTTCTCCGCTTTAATGCAGCCCTTTCTCACACTCCATAATAAGTGGGGGAAAATACATCCCCACTTGAAGAAACACAGTGGGATGCTGGCTTCAACTACCTAGAACTGACATAAAGGCCGTGCTTATAAAATACGAATGCTTGCTTAAGGTATGAAATGTCCTCTCTAAAATGACCGTAAACAGCCGTATGTGGCTCCTGTAAAATTTTTGAAAAGAAGTGCATTAGAAGGAAAAAAAAATGCAAACCCCAAACACCTCAATAGATGGTAGGAAGACGAGGAAACCAGCTAGTATACAAACTGCCCTTATCTACAATTATTTAGTGTCATCTACGAAACAAAGCAAAAACCAAAACGAAGTACATAAAAAAAGAAATCACTTATTTCACGTAAAACTTATAAGAAAGTTTAAACGTCACTAATACAATATTTGGGGATTATTCTATATGAATTAACAGCACCTACCTCATTAAGAAGATAGAGTATTCCAGAACACTTAATTAAGCTTATATGAAATCTTTACTTAGACCAAGCTATTGTCTCAACATAGCAACTCTGTGGTTTAAATTTGAGAAAGATGGGAGTCAGGGCTGTATCCTTTCTCTACGCTTATCAACCTATATGATGAGCAAATCATTACAGAAGCCTGACTTTATGACTAAGAACATCAAGATCTGAGGAAGACTCACCAACAACCTGTATGATGCAGATGGTAGAATGTTGCTTGCTGAAAGGAAGGTAAAACTGAGCAAAAGAGGAAGAGGTGATGTTGGAAACCACAGAGCAGTGTAGCAGATTTGGGACATTCTTTACTTCCCCTTTTTTGTAACTTCTGTTGTTGTGTGCCATCAAGTCAGAACCCACCCACAGCTGCCCCTCCTGTGGGTTTTCAGAGGCAGTCAATCACACCGGAGGGGATTTCTCCTACTGAGCAGCTGGTGTCCTGGAACCGCTTGCCCTTGGGATTGAAACACAGGCCACCTAATTAGTCTGCTGCTAATCTTGCTGCTGTTGTTGTTAGGTGCCTTAGAGTGGAGTACTACTTACAGTGACTCTATGAACGACAGATCTGAAGCCTATCCCATCCTCCGCCTTTGAGTTGTGGTATGTGGGAAAGGAGTATTGACTACTCCACAGACTGCCAAAAGAATAAACAAATATGTTTTGAAGAAAGTGCAGCCAGGGTGCCTTTTAGAGACAAAGATGGTGAAAATTCAATTCATATATTTGGGCATGTTTTTAGAAGGGGCTACTTCTTGGATATGGACACCATGCTTGGAAAAGTGCCAGCAAACGAGAGAAAGACAGACCCTCAACAATTTGGATTCACATAGTAACTGCAACAGTAAGCTCAAGTGTATCGGAGATAATGAGGATGGTCCAAGTTAAAGCAGGGTTCGGATCTGTTGTTCAAGGGGTTGCTATGAGTCATAGTTGACTTGACTGCACCCAACAATAACAACAATGTATTTTTTTAGAGTAAATATTCCCAGAACCATGGGAGTTCTAGTGGCCTACTGGTAAGAAGCTGTGCTGCAATCCCCAAAGCAGGGCTGATGTGAGAAATAATTCACTAATATAGCCTGGAGAGTGACCAGCCAGAATGACTGGTCAATACCAATTTAATATCAAGCCCATGGAGAAGGGAACTTCAATTTGTTAAGTAAAAGCAAGGCACTTTTCAAGCCTATAAACCATACAATACTTTGCAAGAGTTTTTAGTTCCTAGAATGAAGAAACTAGGACTCAGAGAAATGAAATCATTTTGCAAAGATCTCACAGACTGCCAAAGTGGGACTTGATTCAATACTCATTTCAAAATTCCAACAATACTTTTTTTGTGAGCAGAAAGGAGCCAGCAAAGGGAAGGGCTAGACTGTAAGTCTGGATCTGAACTCTGACCACGATGATTGTCAAATATTCACTCTGCCTTCCTAACAATAAAATGTGAAGTCTTGAACATGCTGTCTGTGGTCTCTTTTTTTCAGTGTCCTAGGGATCCAATATTTCCTTGTGGCCCACTCTAGGAATATCCTACCTTCTCCAGTCTCCAAGAAAATAAAGTGAAGCTTCCCATCTACTGTTACACTAATATGGTCATCATTAGCAGCTGACATCTAGTCGGTTTCTAATTCATGGTGACTTCAGACATAATGGAGCAAAATACTGTCTAGTCCTGTGTCATCCTTATGAACAGTTACAGGTTGGGCTACTGTTGTGATTCATACCATTAGGGTAGTGATTCAAAAACTACAGCATGCAGAAGAATGGCCTGGGGGATGTATGTCAACACAATGACTTCATACATTTCACCAAAATCTATAGTACTCTACATTACAAAGAGTGAACCCTAATGTAAACTATGGTTAATGATAATGCATGAATATTTTTTCATACATTGATTATAACAAATATATTACAGGGATGCAACCAGGACAAAAGGAGAAAAATTATGTTAAAGGGAGAAACTATGGCAGCAAGAAGAATTCTAAGGAAGTGCTATATTTAATATACAATTTTTGTATGTATCTAGAAATGCACCAATATATTAAATGCAGGTTAAAAAAGCCACTGGATTTCATAATTAGGATTGCCAATTTGTCAACTTTATGTCCTGGTTTTATTTATTTATTTTTTTTTATCCATCTAAGAGTTTTATTCACCTTCCAGGTAGAGCCTTGGACAAACAACTTAAATCTAGCAAGTCAAATACGGCTGAAACCCAGCAGGGTTATTGCTTCTGACTGTTTTGCAAGATTTTTTATCTAGTGGGGATCATATTTTGGGTATGTTGTCAGGAGGTGACAGTTCTTGGGAAAAGCCATTATGCTGGAAAAGGCAGAGGGTCAGAGAAAGGAAGATCTTTAAGATGGAGTGACTCAGTGGCTGTACCAAAAGACACTATTAGTTGTTGTCGACTTGACAGCACCTAAGAACATTAGGAAATCAGTCAACTAGTGGGTTAAATAATGTTTCAGGCTTTGGATCATGTTTTAAGGAACCTTTTTATAGCTCTCCTCCATTCGTTTTGTTCTCTGCTTGTAATTGAGCCTGTAATTGAGTCCTCTCCCCTGCTCTCTTAGTATATAAACTATCCTTTAAAGACTCTTTTTAGACCATGCTCTAGCATTTACGATATATATTCATAACCAACTTAAGTCTACTTTTAAATAACATGTTACATCACAGGTAATACAGATATCTTGAAGTATTCTCTTCCTCTTTTCCCCTTATAATATTGATGTTTTATGATTTTTCTGCCTAGGAGTTAGGCTGTACTTACTCTTTACTACATGTAGCTCTAGAAGTCAGAAATTCCCAGTGGTGTCCTTGGGGTTTTGTTTTTGTATTTTTCCTTTCTTATTGTCTGTGGGTGCTCCTAGGGACTCCTGAAATAGAATGTGAACCTTGCCATTCCTTTCACTTGTCATCACTAGATGTTATACAGGAGCCCAACTGATGTGCTGGTAAGTATGGAGGGAA